TTGCATTATAAATAGTTGTCAAAAGCACTAGAGCTTTTCTAGCCATTTGTTGGTGCACTTCAGCGTTAATCAAGTCATGTCCAGGAGCTTTTCTTTTAGGCAACTTTTTGATTTGTTCAGCAATCTGGGAAGGTGTGAATGAAATAGGAGGTGAAGTTAGTTGTAAGGACACGTCTAAAGTGTTTAGTACATTGTTATCGTGCACAGTGTTAGTGAAGTCTGTGTGTGGTACAAAAACAGAAGAAAGATATTCGGCAAAGAGTTCTGATTTTTCTCCGTCCGTCACGGCCCAGGAACCATCTTCTCTTCGAAGGGGTGCTGACACTTCACGATGCTTAATAAGGTTTTTGGTATGTTTCTACAAGCTTCCATCGACGGTTGAGAGATTTCTGATGTAGTTGTCATAGGTTGTTCGTTTGAATTTTCCAATCTGTCTCTTGAGTTCATTATTAAATATGTTGTAAGTTCGTTTATCTGATGGGAGTCTGTCAGTCTGCCATATTTTGCGAGCTCTAATCAAGTCCCTTATGTATTGTGGGTACATTGGTAGCAACTCATATTTTTGAGGTTTTGCTACTGATGAAGACCATGCTGCTTCTTGAATATTTCGTGTGAAGTATTCAACGGCATCCTCAAGTTCTTCTTCGTTTTTAATGGATAGAGGAACAGAGAGAGCAGTGTCCAAATGTTTCTTGTACCTGTCCCAATCTATTATGCCATTGATCAGGGACAGTTTTTTTGTAGCTTCACAATTCTCTTCAAACAATACCAAATGCAAAAGGGGATGATCAGAGCAGAGATCTGAACTCGTTGTTATGGTGTGAGGTGTTGTTCGGAGTCCTTTATTTATGAAAAAATCGAGTAAGTCTGGTGTTTTCCGTCTAGAAGTTGGCCAGTAAGTAGGTGAATTAGGTGATATTGTGTCTAATGAAAGCTCATGAAGAACATACCTAAGATTTCTTGCTCTTGGAGTAGATAATCTGGATCCCCAGAACGGATCTTTGGCATTGTAGTCGCCTCCTGCAACAAAGCATCTACCAAGACGTTTAAAGAAATTACTAAACATCGTGGGTGTCAGGACATGCCTCGGAGGGCAATAAACCGCAGCAAGAGTAATGTTTTGTCGTTGTGTTGATAGTGTAATGGCTGTAGCTTGAATCTCTGGTGTTATGGGTAATTGTAATGGATTATGTTTTAGAATTGTTTTGATAATTATAGCAGTGCCTCCATGTGAAGTTCCGTCAGGGTGGTCAGTTCTGTAGATTTTGTAACCACGGATGTAAAATTTAGAATGTGGTGTCAAGTGTGTTTCTGTTATTAGTGCAATGTCAATGCGTTTCTCGTGTAAGTATATGTCTAGTTCGGTTCTATGTTGATTCACTCCGTTTGCGTTCCATAGTATAATAGACATGGAGCCCACAGTCGTCTGATTACGGGGCTATATTTTTGGGTAAGAGCGAGAGTAGCCTGAGATGGCTGTTGTAGAAGACTGAAGAGGGGCTGTATGAGGTTATTGAGACCGCTAATCAAATGTATGATATCACCTGAGGCGGTTTCAATAGTAGGGAGCGTTTGGGCAATGCCCCTACTCATACCTATAGGTCTCTGTTGTTGGTTTGTTGCCGGTGTTGGTTCTCGTTGCTGTCTCTGCTGCTGCAGTTCTGGTCCTGAGTGAATCCAGCAATGAAGGCGCTGAGGCTGATGTAGTGGCGGGAACTCTTGTAGTTCTGGTGGTGGGGATTGAACTCTAAGAGGCCTCTGCAGAGCATGGTTTCTTGTTCTTGTGCGGCTCTTCCTTAGCTCTTTCAAAGTATCGCAACCTCTGTAGTTAGCAGGATGTGGTCCTTGGCAGTTGGCACATTTTGCGACTGTTTCTCTAGTCTTTGTACAGGAAGTGCTTTCGTGAGCCATACCACATCTGACACACCTCGGCTGGTGGTTGCAGTACGTCTTGGTATGGCCGTACTGCTGACACCGTATACACTGCGGAATGATTCGCGGGGTTTTATCTTCCGGGAGTTGATACGTGTGAAAATCAGCTCCACCCCTTCTAAGACTGGTCACTAGCCTACGGTATGCTTCTACATTTTCAGGATACACGCTGACTCCTCTTATAGACGTTTTTAACCTGAAACTGTTAGGTCCACCTTCATTGTGAAGAAAGGTTACTAAGACTGTGTAGTCTTTCACGTCGTTTATATGAATAGGTGGAGGTCTAATAATAATGGGATTATTATTTGCTGTCTGTCTTTCTTCCGGAGTACTAGATAAAACTTCAAATCTATTGTCGGTAGCAATAGTATCACTAACCTTTAATTGCTTATGACGTGGATCTCTGTCTGAAGCTACATGTCGTTTTCGTCCAGACACAACTTCCCAGGACATAGCTTCTTGTGCATTATCGTTGTTGACTTCAGTTGGTGAACCGTTCGATGCCGATGGTTCCGCCATTTTTTTAGCTGCACCAGTAATTTTACTTCTTTTGATTGCACTTATTTAACTCACAAATAGGGAAGAGATAAAGGAAATTAACATGCAGTTAATTCACTTAAACTTGTGCTAATTTTATAGAATTTGGAGAGAGAAATAAATTACGTTTGTAACCTTCAATCAATCACCTGGTTCTCCTCTTTATCCGTGAACTTAAAAATGTTTAACTGTTTATGATGTCACTGTTAATCAACTATTAACACAAAGTTTTGACTAATAAACACATAGCAAAGTAATAATCACAGAGCGAACTGAAAACTAAACTGCAGTAGCGGCCATGACACTTCTCTCTCCTCATACAGAAAATAAAAATAAAAATGACAATGAACTAAATATCAACTTCAATACACATCGGCCACCAACCCAAACTAGTTTCAAACAATTCTTTAACACTAGTTAATTAATCACAACAAAAGATAACGAACAAAACCAAAGTTTAGAATATATCAATATCTACAAGTAATAACAGTGAAAAATTTAAATCCATAACATATATTTAAAAAATTATACATCGACGATTTCAAATTCGCTCTCAAACCCACGCACCCTATACGAAATTTACCGACAAAGACAAAAGATCCAACACCTAATCAGAACAATAGAAATTTAGTTTATAACATACCTTGTTGAAACTGCGAAAAATCATATATAGGTATGACATCAACTGATAAAAATACTATAATCACAAAAGTAACGTAAAACCCAATTCAAAAACAACCACTGCCTTATCTAACCACGACAAAATTCACAGACGTGAAATAGATTTTGATAATATTCTGAGTAATTGAGGAGGAGAGTGAACTGTGTATTGGATATGGATTGGTTAGGATGGCAATATGATGAGCAAGTGTGAGTGAATAGCAGCAAGTCTTGATAACTACAGCGGTGGCTTCTAGGAAACCATGAATAGGCTTAGCAAGTAGACGATGAGAAAGAGGCTGATGAACAATGGCAGCAGTACCGGCATGTGCTCTCTCGTAAGGTCGGTCGGTTCGGTACTCCAAATATTGCGGTATTTTGAAAAACTGTTTAGAAGTTAGTCCTGTTCACATCAACGATTTTGTCAAGTAATAAGGTGAAGGGATAGCCCTTCAGGTATATGACAAAAACTGCAATATTTTGTGTTGGTTTGGTTCAATCACCAGATTTGTGTTATTCGCGGTATTTCAGAGGTCGTATGTAAGGCCATTGATGCACTGAAAGATTAGGGTATAGTTTGTCTACTTTTACCCTTTTTAGATTCTTTTTTGTCATTTATTTTTCAATACTTTGTGATGGCGTCAGGTCTACCAAAAACAAACGCAATGGGAGATTGTTTTTTACTCCTGACTCTTCTTTATTTTCTTTTAAAACATTTAACACAACACAAGTAATCGAATGAAATTTTTAAAACTTATTTTCGCATATTACATTACAGTGTTTTTTATAGAATTTGGACTTACATAATTGTAAACATTATCGGAATATACTAATGTACTTAAGATGGCTTACATCTTCTTTATCCACATCCCCTGATCGATCCTCCTGTTTCCAACTTCTAAAAACCAACATCTGACGTGGGAGAGTTAGACGCTATCTGAACTCTAGCTGGCTCATTCGGGCCTGAGAACGTCTCTCACTTATCGCTATTTCAAATTTGGATAACCAACCAAGTTCAAAAAAACAACAGGCGATGACGACCTGCCTGTTTTCGACACAAATCGGTACATTTTTATAATTATCGATTTTGTAAAAATGTATTGACAAGAAAAATTTAAATCCGGCAATAAATGGTCTAAATACAGATTATCCAATATATTAGAACCTTCTGGGGACAGTATACTTACTATATTTTTATAATTTTGTAGTTTAGTTCCAAATTATTTTTGAACTCATAAATGTTTCTTCTCACTATCACTTTTCTTTAAGATATATAATGTTATTATATATATATATATATATATATATATATATATATATATATATATATATATATATATATATATATATTATATATATATATATATATATATATATACAATAGAAGAAATAACTCCTTTGCAATAATTTACAGAAGGGAAGATTCCCAATCTACCTTACTAGATAATAATAGCCTTATATTTGTATTTGATTATTATATGATATACATACAATGTAAGCATATAATCAAATGAAATTGAATATTTTTATTATTAATGACCTATTTACAACACATACATTTTTGCACTTCACATCAGCATGGGCCTTACCAAAGGGAGTAATTGTCTAATCTTCCCAGGTGACTAATCCTACAGGGAAGAGTCCTTACTAGGTAAACCATACTACCTACCTAGATAAGCCTTACCTTACTAGATAAGCTATGCCAATTGCAAATGTTGATATAACAAAGACTAGAGTTTATCTGAACTTTATAAAATCGATGTTTCAAATATCTCCTTAAAATATGTTTTATCAAGGCATGATTTTATTTATCTATTGGTTTTCAAATTTTTAAAACAAAGTTTATATTCATAAATGATTTTTTTTTTCAGATAGTCAATGCAGTGTGGTGGTATTATTTTTCAAAACTTTTAGAATTTTGTGATACCTTCTTCTTCATCCTTAGGAAAAAGGAAAAGCAATTGACATTTCTACATGTATATCATCACTCAACAATGTTTTCATTATGGTGGATTGGTATTAAATGGGTTCCAAGTGGATCTACATTTTTACCAGCTATGGTTAATTCATTCATACATGTATTGATGTATTCATATTATGGCTTGGCAGCTCTTGGACCCAACATAGGCAAATATTTGTGGTGGAAGAAGTACTTGACAATGTTGCAGCTTGTATGTAATCAAATTTAATTAATATAACTTAAGAACTGTAAATATAAACAATAATTTAACCTTCAGTTGCTGGCACCTAATCTGTGAGATGAAGTATATTTTTTGTGTGTCCAAGGACAGAGTTAGTGAGTATAATCTTGTATTAACTTTTTAAGTTATTTTAATTACGTTATATTTTTATTTATTGTTTGATTTTTTTCATGTAGATTATTTATGTGATTATGTAATAATCTTATTATAAAACTCAAACATTACCATTTTCAATTTAAGGATTTTCCACTTTTCCCTCAAGTCTGTACAGAAATTTAATTTTCAATCTCACAGATGAGCTATGCCCAAACATGTTAGAATTTGTACTGTGCCGGACTGAAGGTTAATCGAGTTTTATAAAGTTATCTGGTCTATTTTATATTAAGTTAGAGATATCTTTAGATGATCAGATATGATTCAATTGTAGTTTTGGAAATTTACAGCATTATTCATTCAGATAAAAATTATTTTTTATAGCCATTCATATTCAATGATTTAACATAAAATACTGAGCCTTGTGCTAAAGTCTTGAATTAAGCCTGTGTGTCTCATTGGAAAGAGAAGGGTTACATAAAAAAACATTGTTGGCATTTTTCAAATTTGATAAATATATTGCTTGCAAGTAAATGTAATACTATTTACTGTTATTCAAAATAATAAAAACTAATAATTTCAATATGTACTAGAAAAATAAATAAATTATTATTTTTTTTAATTTTTCATGCGATTCAACATTGTATGATTCATCTAATTTACTTAAATATATCTGATAACAGAAAATCAAATCTAATTTTTAATATATTTTTAAAAATAGAGAAAAATAATTGAATAGTTTAGCAATCTTATCAATAGAAAAGAGTGTAGAGTAATCAATTAATATTGACAAAGTGTAGGTGGAATTTGCAAAAATGAATGTCCAATGTTTTTTTTAGTATAGTATTAGCTTTATTGTTTTGTAAAAAATCAATATCAAAATAATAAACAGTAATTTTCATATAGTTTTCATTTCCTGTTCAGGATAAAATAAATTAAACAATGGAAAGTAAAGTTTATTCCAGGGCATCTTAGTGTCCTTGGAATAATGAAAGTGATTAAGTCCAGTACCATTTGTCTGAGACAAACATGAGTAAATTAATTAAATTAAAGACTGATACATATAGGTATGTTTACATATTTGCTAGTAAACAATAAAAATAATAGAAAGTCATTATTAACATAAAAAAATTTTTATTATCTATAAACTTAACATACACAAAAGACAAATGCATATTCATACAAATATATGAAATTTAACTCTAAATACTAAATGGAAAGGTAGAAACACCTGAATATCACGAAGATGAATCTAATGAAACAATTCATTAGTCTCCACGTTTCTTGCCTATCAGACATTAGTTTGTATAAACAGCAGCTGGGGAAAAAGAAAAAATCTAGGAGCTGGAATGTTTTATGGGAGCATAGAATCATGTAATCTAAGATAACTGTTTAAGGACAGTAATTTAGTTTCAAGCCAGTTAGAAAATCTGATTATAAACTAGAAGGATACACACTGATCAGAAATTACATTAAAGTCTCTAACAAAGGTATGGATGTAATTAGATAGGCGATTGAGATAGAGTGCAGAATAATAAGGAAGGTAATTAAAAAGGTGGTTGGAACTGGTTAATGTATAAAAAGTAAATTTTATTCTGAAACACCTTAGAATAACGAAAACGTACAGTTACAGTACCATTTGTCTGACATAAAATTATAATTATGAAATAATTAAATAGGACATGCACAGTATGCACCCTAGTTCACCTCCTCTAGGTAGTCTCCTCAGATGGAAGATCAGATTGATTAAATCCAAATAAACAATGAAAACTCAAGGAAAACTAGCTATACTAATCAATCGAAAACAACACAGGGTTCACTCACAGTGAATCAAAGCAAGACTGACATACACAGGGTTTAAACATTGGACAGTGGGGTGCTGTATCCTTATTCTGACTTGATTTACTTTAGATACTCTTGTCGAAATTGGAAAGATATAAAATATGCCTTGTTACAATCAAAGAAATGTGGTGGAAGGAAAAGAGACTTGTTTAGAAGTGTTTTCATACCTTTTATTAGTGCTGCATGGAACAATCTCATAAGTTTGTAGAGTCATTTATGGATAGAGTTTAAATCCACACATTAAGTTGCAAGCTATTTAAAATACTCGTTTGTGAGATTCTAAGGAGGAGGGAGGTGGTGGGGGTTTTAAATTTACAGCATGTTTACCAGATTTCATTTGGTGAGGGCCAAGAAACATTCCACAACATTATTAATCAAAGTGTAGTTAGCTTCCTTAAAGGAGGTATTAAAATAGCCTTTGGAAAATTTAATGCGAAAATGGGAAATAAATCTATTTATAGACCAATAATAGAAAAGTACAGGACCATGAATATTCAAACTAAATCAGTCAATCATTGATTAACTTTACGACATCTTATGATTGGAAGCACGGTGGTTCCTTGAAAAAATAGTTATAAGAGCAAGTGGAGGTCACCTGATAGTACTGTGGTAAGTTAGATTGATCCTGTTCAAATCAATGGTCATTATAATCATGGCTTAATCTTACATTCATCAGCCCATAATTTATTAATAATAACCAGTACAACAAACAGGTCTAAATTTTAAGATTAAATGTTAAATTAAATTAATAGTTTTAACATTAATAGTTCTGTTTCTGGATTTTAATATGATGGGTTGAAACATAGGCACACATTAAATACAATAAATTCCACTTACATCAACATTACACTAATTTTGACTCCATTGGCCACACTCCCAACCAAATTGTTCTTAAAAGGTTTAAAATATAAAATTTAATTTATACATGAGCTAAAATAAAAACTTCTCAATAAGCACCAATCGTTAATTATGGATCAAAACCTGAAATTGAAACCCTACTTTTGTCACTTTACTTTAGAGACTTTTTCTCTCTGTTCTAAAATCTTGGTGTTTTTATTTCTTACTTTTAATGTGTTGTTTTTTTTTTCTTGTTTTTTTTGTTATTTCTACAACTACTCATAAATACTTCTAGAAAATTAAAAAAGAAAAATAATCAAACATAGAATATCAGGGTCCTTTGAGCCTCGGGGTCTGAGCAAAATTGTTCCTTTGCATTCCTATCACACAGTTGATATGTTTAATGATCCAGGTTCAAACTCTAACTTGGCATACAAAATTTTCTCTTTGCAAAACATTGTCAAGATTCTATCATATGGGGTAACAAACACCTCTCAGGTCCATTCAGGATGGTTGGGACACAATACCAGCACCACTGTCTTCCATAAATACCACAATATCAAGAATAGATCACCTCTACCAGTGTATTCCATCAAGACCCGTTATAGGCTGTTGATAAATAATTAACATATATATATATATATATATATATATATATATATATATATATATATATATATATATATATATATATATATATATATCCAATATAAGTTCACAAATATTTCATTGATGAAAGGTTAAAGCTTTGTTGTCTAATATACAAGCAATTTTCTTTATAGCCTTTAAAAAAATAAGAACATAGGATAAAATTGCTATAAAGAAGCAACATTTATATATTTCTTTTAGTAGCATTTTAAATAAATTGTTTCTATGTTTGGGTAAATTATAGTAAATAGTAAAAATATATTCTCCTTTAGATCCAGTTTACTACAGCATTAATTCTGGGCATCAATGGGATTAGATCTGGATGTGATTTTCCTTTATGGATGCAATATGCTCTAGTAATCTACATGATATCATTCATTGTGCTGTTTGGAAATTTTTATGCGAAAGCATATATAGAAAAGGTAAATGACATGTTATTTGTTTTAAAGGTAGTTTATTTGGTTAAACATTCTTATATATCTGGTTGTATCCTATTTCTTGTATTTATGACATGTCAGTTTTGATATGATATAATATGAGATATAATATATAACAGAGTACAATAACAATTAATTAATTTGAGAGTTATTTTCAAGTTATTAATTAGTAATAAGAATTTTAATTTAATTTATGATTTATAATGTAAATTTAATTTTGTATGCATATGCTTATTCTTCTAAGTAATTAATAATTATCCATTTGAGATTAATTATATAAAATTTCCTAAACAATGGCCTAAAAAATATTAAAAAGTTCCTCAGTACCAATCAGTCCAATCATCTAGTAACACTAGTGGATCCAGCGAGAGAGAGTCCCCCATCCCTCCCTGGAAGTAGGAAAAAAATTCCGATAAAAGTTAAAAAAAACAACTATTTAAGGAAAAGAGAAATATAGGAAAAATTCATCCTCTAAGACAAATTATCTAATATAATATAAAAATAAAGTTATCATCGTGACCAGCATAATAATTTCTGCCAGGGTGCACACCTAACCCCCCACCATTTCCTGATTCCAAGGATTCTGGCATCAGACTTACTCCATCTTTTCATCTCAGTTTCGGTCTGCCCACTTTTCTTTTTCCACTCAGCTCCATGCTCATTAGCTTCTTTGGGATTGAGGTCTCCTCTATCATACGTGTCCCTCTCATCTCAGCCTTGCTCTCCCGATATGTTTCACCACATCTGGCTGCTTGTATAAGTTGGCTAGTTCTTGGTTACATCTAATTCTCCATTCATCATTCTCCTTAACTGTGCCTAATATCTTCTGAAGGACCTTCCTTTCAAAAACTAATATTTTACTCTCACAGGTCTCTGTCAGTGTCCATGTTTCACATCAGTAAGTCAAAACCGGTTGTATAATGACTTTGTACAGGAGAAGTTTAGTTGATCATAGTATTGAACGAAAATGAAAGAAGGGCAGAATGCTTATCAATACTGACCTGGCAAAACCAAAATTCTTCAAGTAGGAAGGATGTGGAAAGATGTTGAAGATTTCTGTAATGGAGAAGAAACACAAGTTATCTCCGATATCATTTAAAATTATAGAAGGGTTTGGACAAGTGTATTCAAAAATCTTATACAGAATAAGGAAAGCTCGGTCTACTATCAGATGTAGATTAATTTTTTATTGGAAGGCAATAGGTGGGCAAAAATGTGAAGCTTTACATCTTTAAGTCAGTGTACTTGACTGTACTCCTATATGGAGTTGAAAGCTAAGTATTGAGAGATAAACAGGAAAAAACTGTATACACAATGAGAGGATCAGGGGAACTATGAGTCCTCTCGGTGAAGTAAGTCTTAGAAGCTTACCAATTGAAGTGGTTTGGCCATGTCCTCAGGATGAAGAAATAACAAAATCCACTGAAAACTATGAACTATGCCCCTGACAGTAGATTGTCTCAAGACCAAACAAGGATGTTGTACCTGGAATACAATGACCGTTTGTGTGCAAAAGGAGAGGACAATATCTCTGCCAAGTCAGGAACCTGGTAGAAATTGAGAACAGTGGAAATCCTGGTTAAAAGCTCCCCTAGGCTGATGGGCACAACAGTGTAACGAAAAAGAAAGAGTTGACTGAATTATGAAGCCCTTTATTAGTAGACTTAAGTATCAGGATGATCTGGTGAAATATAGTCCTACCAACCTAAATCCGAGATCTTCTGATTGCACAATCACAAACTCTGATTAAAACGAAGATTTGGCAAGCAGTCAGCCTACCTCAAACCTTCAACCATTTCACAATCATCACATCAACCTTGATGCCTGACCATTGAGTCTTACAATACACATTTGATCTTGGTATAAGAAGTTGATAGTGATCACCAGCTTTTCTGACATTCTTCTTTTACACAATGCATCGCTTATAAGTTCTCAAGTTGGATATATCACATATAAGTGATACAAACTGTTACTTCATGAAATCATTAACAAATGGAGTGAGTGATTGAGATAATAAGTGACATTTATTGGGTTAATTTATTCATTTATAAAATATTTTACATAATGATCATTTATTTACTGAATTTTCGTTAGTCACTTTACATTTATTGATTATTCAGATAAAGCTAACAAAACATTTATATATATATATATATATATAAAATATGAACAAACATATTAATATAAAATTTCTGCCAAAAATATTCATTGTGAAAGCTTTTACTACTGATTAATGTTCCAATTCCATAGAGTGAATAATCAAAATAATATTGCAGGGAAAACGAGCAGTTGGATATGGTGAATATAGTTTCCAAAATACGCACTATTATCAAGCTGGCACATCAAAGAAGAAATGGGATTAAGCAGCAAGCTGCAGAATTAATTTCATGGTGCAATAAAGGAAAAATGGCTGTTGAAAATTCCATTTATTATTGGTCTGTGCATTAAAAGTTGAAGTGACTATAAAATTGTGTTGATGTGACCAATATTCTTATTAAATTTGTTGAACTTATATAATAAGCAAGCCTAACTGTTTTTCTTGTGTCTGTTTTATATATATATATATATATATATATACTTATATACACACACATATATATATATATATATATATATATATACTTATATACACACATATATATATATATATATATATATATATATATATATATATATATATATATATGTGTGTGTGTGTGTGTATATAAGTATGTATTAATTCAGTTTATTGTGGAATGATATAAATTTATTTGACATTTATTTATTAAAATATTTTATGCTTTGGAAATAAAGAGAAGTCAGTTACTTCCAAAAATTTAAAAATATCTGAAATAATTTGCATAATATATTTAATTACTAATGAGCATTGAACTCAAAAATGTTAAACTTATTTCTCAGGTTAACTATGAGAAATAAGAGTGTGTAAGCCAAACATTTTTAATAACATAGATTTTTTTAATAAAAAACCTTTCCATATAAATAATGATAAAAATATTAAAACAGTGTTAAATTCGTACTTTAATAATAATTAATGTAAGTATATGTATCATATACTATTAGTAATTTTAAAAACATAATTATAAAAATTGCATTGTCATGTAAAGCATATTATTAATTTATTTTTTATTCTTTTAAAGTCGATTAAATATTAAGTCGGATAAAATTCACAGATAGTTGTTCTAAATCTTTAAATATAATGGAGAAAATGGCTCTGAACTGATGTTTACCATAACTTAAAACAAAAACTCTTTTTACAGACCAATTTATAACTTATATATGTCCTTAATAGAGCAGATTTGCTGATGAAAAATGTTCTGAGAGTTATGATTAAGTTAAAGTAATTTTTCTCTTGGCATTTGTAAAATAAATTACTATTAGATGTAAAACTCCTTTCTATTTTCAGTTATTAGATTTAAAATAGTCTAACCGAACTTTTTGAATATAAGTCGTATCACTTCTGTTCAGAACATATTCTTAAAGTGAAACATTATCTTATAATCTTTCCATTGCAATATTTGTTAATGGTTAATATTAAAAATAATGTGAAACCAGATTTTTTGAAAAGGTGAAACAAAAGTAAGATATCATATTGGGTATGTAATGGCAAAAGATTATAAAAATATCAATAAATTAAAAACTAACATCAATATAATTCATTCATACATTGAATGCCATTATAAAAAGTTATTCAATACCTCTTTATCATTAACACTTTTGTTAATATAAGCCAAAAATATTTTAATATTAAATTGGTCATGCTTTTTAGCTATGTAATCTAACTTGGCTTTGTAATTATACTTACAGGCAGTATCAAAAGTATTCGCACACCATTTATAAAACATATAAAGTAAAAAATATAGCTATTAGTAGGTGGTAGTAATTTAAAATAATAAAATCATTTAATATAAACATCAACAGTTTAATAAAAATATTTTTTGATCATATAAATCACATAACATTGCTGTATGAATCAATTATTCAAAGTAATCAATTAACAATATGAGTCTAAACTATTCAGTATTCTTACATTTCATTATTCCTATTCTAAATTTATTCTATTACTACATCAAATTTATATTAAAACTTATATCAATATATAGTAGGACCACCTATGGTCCTAAATAATTTTTGTATAAATAATGCAGAAATTTTGATCCTCTACTTTGTTACCAAAATCTTTAAATTATGGAAATTAAAAACTTTGAGTATTTTTACTTCATCCTTTTGATGATGGCGTGCAGAAAAATATCATTTTCCCTGTTCCTAAATATTTCGTTACTAATTGGGTGATTTCTTTTTAAAACGGTAACAAAAATCTTATCTGATCTAATTTATTCGAATCTATAAATTCAAATGATTCGACTGCTGTAGCATTCATACAACCCCAGACCATGAATAGGTAGTGAATTATCTGCATGTTTAACAGTCGGGAATTATATTCCTTGTTTCCATTACAGCATTTCTTTCCCACCACACTTTTTGACTTCCACGGTAATCAAGTATTTTAATTTTACATCCATCAGAAAATATTACCTGGTTAAAAAAATCATTGCTATTTTTTATATATTCTGTGGCTCACACACACTTTTTTTTCTGACCACATTTATGAAAGTTTTTTTTTAGCTGTTCTCCATTGAAGTCCATCATTTTTAAACATCAGTTCATGACTATAACATTCATCATTTCAGATGTTTCAGCAACTTGTTTGTCCACTAACTGAGGCAATAATTCATGGGCTAAGTTTTATTACAATACTCCTTTCGGATGTGAAAGTAATGTTTCTAAGATGTCCTATTCTCTAATTAGAATTAATGGCACACTTGAATTTGATTTCTTTATTGGTGAATTGAGTCTTTAGCGTTAGAATGAGAACCTGTTCACAATTTTTCGAATTTCTCAGAATGATCAACGCTCATTGTATAGGTTTACAATAATTTTTCTTTCTGACTAACATAAGTCGTTTCATTGATGTATTCCTCATTTCAGCTATATACACCACAGTAAGAATAATATGCATACCTACACAGACGTAGATGGACTGACTTAACATTTGTAAAAGTTATATTATAAATTTAATACATTAATAAGTAATAAATTATGATAAAATAAATAATAAAGTAAATTTAGATCTATAAAAATAAAGTGTACGAATAGTTTTGACTCATGTATTACATTGATTACTTTGAATAATTCATTTGCACAAAAATTTTATGTAATTTATATGATAAAAAAAAAATTAGTGGCAGGGGTAGCCGTACGGGCTAAGGCGCTTGCAATAGGTAATCAAAGGTAAGCAACGTCGAGCGTGGTTAGTACTTGGATGGGTACCATCCACCAGGGAAAACCAGCCATGCTGCCCGAGTCTCTCCTCCCGGGTATGTGAGGCCCGTCATCCTACTGGAGGCAACTCACACCGACCGGGTGTTGGACTGATGACCCTACTCTGTGTACTTAATCGGGAATCGGGATGTGGGCTACCTGGATCTTAGTAGCCCCCTGAGGTTCGGTCCATGGACGGTCTGTTTCGGGGAAAGAAATATAGGTCCTCGTGCACCTGTTGACTCCGAGCAGCCATAATCCATGGACCTAGATCGATTCGTCACTGTCCTTGAACCCGAGTAAGTCGGTGGGAAGGACACTGCCAGATTGGCCCCAAAGGTATCGGCTATGGAGCTATGGGTGGCCTGCCGCTGCATCGTGGAGACCATGGTTCGTAGCAACGTGATGTTGGGTGACCCCCTCCAGGCTATCTGAGCTCCCGCAAGCAACGTACGTCGGTAAGGAGACCACCCCTAGTGGCCAAAAATCTTCATGGTCTGTAGTGACAACTGAAAAAAAAAAATATGTTTTTAGTTAAATTGTTGATGTTAATATTAAATAGTTTTATTCTTTTAAATTAGTACCAGCTAATAATAGCAATATTTTTGAGACAATAATAAAAATATTGTTGATTTTTTAAAACTGAAAGAATGATGATTTTAAAGTTGCTGTACAAATACTTTTGATCCTGATTTAATGTAGCTGTGCATTACCAATTACTTGTGTGTGTGTGTGTGTGTGCGTGCGTGCGTGCGTGAGTGAGTGCGTGCGTGCGTGTGTGTGAGTGAGTGTGTGAGTAAATTTTGTATTTATCTCCTCGTTTGAATAATTATTACCATCGCTATGATTAAGTTATAAAAACCATCAATTAAGGCATTTTTAAAAAAATGTTTTGTAATCAATATCTTGAAATTTTAAATTGAGCTGATTGAATTTTACTAATTTATATATCATATAAAAATGATAAAAAATAAAGAAACTTACTTCAGCACTTTTAATATCCAATGAAATATTATTGACACAAAGATTTTAATGGCAAATTACGAAGTTGTTACCATTATCAGTACCTAGTAGTAACACGCTAAGAACGATTTCCCAATTGTGAGTGACAGCAAAACCTATTCAACACTATGCTTAAATTTGTTACCATCACAATATATAATAAATTTATTTAATTCATAGGAAGCAAAGTTTTTTTAAACTACCTAGCATAATTTAACAGTTATTTTCTGTATTCTATCATAAAAATGTGGCAGTTTTTGTAAACTAAATTAAATTAACACAAAATAATATAAATTCTATTAAACATAACAAATCTTAAAATACATTTTTAAAAAATGTAAAATATACATATGAGAAAATTAAATTATAATAATATAACAAATTCAACTTTTGTAAGACACTATCCTAAAAATATTAGAATATAATATTATATTTTTATTCAAAAGTTATTATATATACATATAATTCTTCTGGGTTTAAATGTGGAGAGATAGTAAAATTAAGCAAATTTATCTGATGAGGAAATAAAAAAAAAATAAATTGTGTGAATTTCTCAAAATGTTACAAAAATGATTTTAACCACTCTCTTTTCTTTATAATACATATAGATCTTTTGTTTATACATCTGTATTATACATGGGTTCATGAATATAAACTGTATACCCAACAGTGTTGCTTCCATTGATTTTATTTTCAAATAATTGGCAATTTAAGATAGTTTCATGGAATTATGAATCTGTCCTACTATAAATCTGCTATTATAAATTTACTCATTATTTTCATTTCATCACTCCATATTTTTAATATAAATGTCATCAGAATTTATCAGTGTTCCAATATTTCTCTAATGGTTTATTGTACTAGAGTTTTAAAAGAAAAAAAATGTAAAAAACATTTTCTTGATGGTGAAAAAGAAAAGTGATTAATTTTCCAATGGAATCAAACTTGGTATTGAAGATATTTGTATGATAATAATTGTACAGATCTGGAACATTGTTAGTTGTAGGACTATGATATGCATGTATTTTCAAGAAAAAGTACTAAATTTAGTGAATTCACATTTATAATAAGAGAATAATGTAAAAAAAAAGAAAAGACAAATTTTTGAATGATATTTATATTGTGATATATCAATGATACATTCTAATCCTCAAGTTCTTACCCCTTCCTTAGTTGATTGAATCCACAATTCCTCATAATTTTA